GGGGCTCCATGTTCTTCCCGCCCCTTTCCCTCCTGGTCCTCCTTCCTCGGATCAGACACCGGTCACTAAGACGGTTGTCCTCGCCCTGACGCCGCTGGTGGTAGCCGTGACCGCCAGGTGTCTCCAGGGCAGAGTTCTTACTTCCTAAACTTATTTCCACTCACACGAAGGCGTGGACTGCGAGGGTGGACTGCTGTGCTCAGCGGCCTGGTCAAGCAGCTCGGGTTACCTTCTCCTTGCCCTGGTTTTATCCCTTTTCAGTTTTTGCTGTAGTGCAGTTGCACTTCCGGGGAGAGAGAGCTGAGCGAGGAATCACCCCTGGGGAGGCCGTGCTGCAGTCCACCTGGCGTGGTTTTCAGGCTGCTGGGTCTGGGAACCAAACTGTGGCCAGCCATGTGGAAGTCCAGTGCCTTAGCCGCCAGGCCACCTGGCTGGCTCCCACAGTGTATTAACTTTATGTTTAGATAGATCAATGTTTGGAGTCTTCATGGAAAATGTGTATTAGGAAAATGTGTAGCATGAAAAAACTATACATAGATTTCAGAAATTTTTTTGCATCAAAGTAAGCTCATTCTTTACTTTTTGAGTTTATTTTATTCATGAGAGAGCGTGCACGCGTGACAGCGAGAGAGCGTGGTGCCCTTGCCGGGCTCTCCTCAGGCCCTGGCCCCTCCCCAGCTCTCGCCTATGCATGTCGGGCAGCGTGTGCTGGGCAGCGTGTGCCGGGAATGCTTCTGGGCTGACTGGGTGTCTGGACGCACGGTCAGCTGCGTGGTCAGCGTTATGCTCGGCAGGGCTACTTTCTGTGCCACCGAGATGGGCCAGACTCGCACGCCATCCCACTTCCCCGTGTCTTTCCCTGTGTATCCCATCACGCCTTCTCCCATGTCCTCCTCTTGGCTGGTTCTGGAGACGCTGAGACCAACTGGTGCGTGCAGCCTGAGCCCACGGCTGGGCCCACACGCCTTGCTCCAGAGCCCCCCATCTCGGATAAGCTCCTGTAAGGAGGGAGCTGCCCGAGGAGGAAGCCTTTCTGCTTCTGCAGGACTCCTGCTCCAGCGCCTCCCAAGCCGCACCGGGCAGTCTCCATTGTGGGGCCTGGCCTGGAGCAGGCACCGGGTGGGGCCCGAGGCTCAGTCTGCATTTGCCTCCGTGTAGGGGGCGACGTGAGACTTTACCGGAACATGTTCTGCTCGGAGAAGAACTGCAGCGGGGAGACCAGCGCCGTCGCGGCCTTTGCCGTCCATGTGTCCGAGGGAGAACGCTTCCATTTTGCGAGCCAGTGCTGCCAGGGGGAGACGTGCAATGACACGGACAGCGCCCCGGGTGCGTTCCCCTCGCCGGCGCCGCGTCCTCTCAGCTCTGGCCCTTCCTTCGCACCACGCTTCTCACTCTGGGGGTGGGCACGCAGGGTCTGGCGCTCCAGTGCGTAACGGGTAACACGCAGGCCTGGCCCACGCTCGAGCGACACTGCAGTAGGCCCAGCGCGTGCTCTCCCGCCCCCGTGAAGTGCCTGGCCCTGTGACCCCAGGCTCTCTGCTTAAGACTCCGAGTCCTGAAAATTTCTGAGGATCCCAGAGAACTTCTGTCTGTGTGGACTCCACTCATCAGTATTAACTGTCTTTATAACGAAGCAGTGGACGTAAGGGAGGAGGGTGGCTCTTACTTTGCTTTTAATAAAAGCAAAGAAAATTTAGAAATTTTAGTTCACTTAAACATAACAAGCCCATTACATTATTATTAATAACAGTTTAAACAGTTTATTTGTTTACTTTTTCCATGAGAGAAGGGGGGGTGAGATCTCCCACCCGGGTCTGGACGCCAGGGTCTGCCCTGAGCCTCAGGTGGCCCTGGACGCCCTGGTGCGCACTGTGCTCAGGGAGCCCTCCGGGTGTGAGCCGGGAGCCTGCCCGCGTGGTGGAGTTCCCAAGTGTTTTCCCGTTGAGCCACTACCAGTCTCTACACCATGTTTACATAGAAATAACACTTTCCAGCGGAAGCGTGGAGTGAGAAGAGCAGAGTGTCTGGCTCTCACACGCTCTAACACGCTCTCACACGCTCTCACATGCACTCACATGCTCTCACACGCTCTCACACGCTCTCACGCGCACCCACACACACTCATGCGCACCCACACGCTCTCGAGCGCACTCACGCGCTCTCACGCGCACTCACGTGCTCTCACACGCTCTCGCACGCACTCACATGCTCACACACACTCACATGCTCTCACACGCTCTCACACGCTCTCACATGCTCTCACACGCTCTCGCATGCACTCACACGCTCTCACACGCTCTCACATGCTCTCACACGCTCTCGCATGCACTCACACGCTCTCACACGCTCTCACATGCTCTCACACGCTCTCGCATGCACTCACACGCTCTCACACGCTCTCACATGCTCTCACACGCTCTCGCATGCACTCACACGCTCTCACACGCTCTCACATGCTCTCACACGCTCTCGCATGCACTCACACGCTCTCACACGCTCTCACATGCTCTCACACGCTCTCGCATGCACTCACACGCTCTCACACGCTCTCACATGCTCTCACACGCTCTCGCATGCACTCACACGCTCTCACACGCTCTCACATGCTCTCACACGCTCTCGCATGCACTCACACGCTCTCACACGCTCTCACATGCTCTCACACGCTCTCGCATGCACTCACACGCTCTCACACGCTCTCACATGCTCTCACACGCTCTCGCATGCACTCACACGCTCTCACACGCTCTCACATGCTCTCACACGCTCTCGCATGCACTCACACGCTCTCACACGCTCTCACATGCTCTCACACGCTCTCGCATGCACTCACACGCTCTCACACGCTCTCACATGCTCTCACACGCTCTCGCATGCACTCACACGCTCTCACACGCTCTCACATGCTCTCACACGCTCTCGCATGCACTCACACGCTCTCACACGCTCTCACATGCTCTCACACGCTCTCGCATGCACTCACACGCTCTCACACGCTCTCACATGCTCTCACACGCTCTCGCATGCACTCACACGCTCTCACACGCTCTCACATGCTCTCACACGCTCTCGCATGCACTCACACGCTCTCACACGCTCTCACATGCTCTCACACGCTCTCGCATGCACTCACACGCTCTCACACGCTCTCACATGCTCTCACACGCTCTCGCATGCACTCACACGCTCTCACACGCTCTCACATGCTCTCACACGCTCTCGCATGCACTCACACGCTCTCACACGCTCTCACATGCTCTCACACGCTCTCGCATGCACTCACACGCTCTCACACGCTCTCACATGCTCTCACACGCTCTCGCATGCACTCACACGCTCTCACACGCTCTCACATGCTCTCACACGCACTCACACACACTCGGCACTTGGTCTGTCACTCTCACACCAAGTAGCCCCTGGGAGCTGCACGGACGAGAGGAGGCAGAGCTGCTGGGCCTGTGCTGAGGGCTGCTCGCCTCCCTTCGTGGCCTTCTGCGAGGGCCCGGGGAATTCGGGCCCCTGGGTCACGAGATGAGGACTGCTGACCTGACCGGTCCCCGTTTGGCTGAAATTTGGCTGAGAAGGCCGTGTCCCCGGCTGGGGCCACCAAGCACAGTTAACAAAGGGCAGAGTCCATCTCAGCTCTCCGTCCTCGGCTGTCGGAGGGCATGGAGACTCACCAGAGAGGGACGGGGCTGCGCCCAGCCTCCCCACTCCTTCCGGGGTGCTGGGCGTGCGTGCTCACGTACCCGCATGGGCTCCATCGCCTTAGCCATCACGCCAGGGGCGGCCCTCTGTAACTGCCCCTTGTCACGTGTTACATAGCACCCCACGTTGAGTGATGGCCACAGCTGCTGGCTGGCGGCTGGACAGCGGGCCGTGTCGATGCCGGCTGGAAGCCCTCCCTTTCTCCCCTGTACCCGATACGCTGTGGACCGCGACCTTGCCTGGAGGCGAGGGGCCTGTGGGCCGGACGTATTACAGGATGTTCTGGAGGGACCTGGAGGTCCTCAGGGCTGAACCTGAGAGTCTCAAGGGAGGACTTGGTTCGTTCTCTGGGCCTCCCGGGGTCCTTGCTCGCCTGTGTCCTGCCTCCCAGGACATGTCCTGAGTGATGGCTCTCACGTCCCAGGCCCTCCACAGGAAGGCGTGCCCAGCAACATGGAGTGCCCCGCCTGCTACGGTGACAGTGAGGTGTCCTGCAGCGAGGCAACCCAGAAGTGTTATGGAGGCCAGCGGTGTGTCTCCCTGGTCGCAGACTTCACCAACGGTAAGTGCAGTGCCCATCCTCCGGGCGACTGGCTTGGAAAAGTGTCGGGTCTTGGGCTGTACGTCTGGGGTGGACACGAACGGGCTGGGGAGGGGGTGGGTAGGGGCACGAGGACCATGACCCCGAGACCAGGGCTGCTAACGGCCGGAGGGGGCTGCGCCTTGGCCCAGAGCCATCCCTTCTGGCGGCCTGCCCCTGAGCCCCGTCCTGTGGCCTATCCCCGAGCGCCTGCACTCTCCAGGTGGCTGCCTCAAGGACTGCCATTGCTCCGTGGTGTGGGTGCCACCTCCTTTAAGCCCACATGTCCCTCATCGTCACTGAGGTGCTGTATAGCAGCTTGGCTCAGCCAGCAGGAGGATTCAAACCTGGCTGCTTTCAAATCCATGCAGCTGTCCTTTCTTAGAAAGGCGGTCTGGGACTATTATGCCACTAGAAAGCCACCTTCAGTGGACCAGCTCATGGCCTCGTGGTTGAGGTGGCAGGATCCCACCTGGCTGACAGCGTGGTTTGAGTCCTGGCCCGTTGGCTTGAGAAACACTCTGGGTGCACAGGCGTGTGTGCCCAAAATCCCCAAAGGAGGGACAGATGGAGGAGGCGGGACTGCCCGTGTACTGGGCGGGGGGGTGCTTTCTGGCTCTCCCTCTCTGGCTGTCTCTCCCTGGCGAACAACAAGAAGACACCCCCAAACACTCAGTGCAGTGGACAGACGGACAGACGTTCGCTTCTGCCTGGACAGCCTGGCGGCACAGGCATGGGACCCTCTGTCTCCCACCTGTGTGGGGAGGAGGGAGGTGGGCGGGAGCCTGCTTACTCACGCGGCCTGCGAGGGAACGCTCCACTCGCGTCTGCACTCTGGCCCTCGCGCACCGCCAGCCTCCAAGGGAAGCTGGGAAACACGGCCTCATCGTGGCTGGGAGGACGGGGCTGAAGCGAGGATGAGTAGCCTGTCAGTCTGCCAAGTACGGCCCCGGAGAGAGAACCCTGGGGCGCCAGACCCAGTGCGTTTGGTCTCAGTCTTCGTTAAATGTCACTCACGGTCTTGGAAATCAGTCTTACCTGTCTTCATGGGCTTCTCTTCAAGGACCACAGGTATCCTGACCCTTTCACATTTAAAAAAAACTGGGCCGGCCTTCCTTCCTTTCTTCCTTCCTCTCTCTCTCACTCTTCCTTATGAGCAAGAGGGAGCGAGGATGGAGTGCGGGGCATGGAGCAGGGAGCCAGGCAGAGGCAGGCGTCTCGGGGCCTCACGGGCTCCTGACCTCCTGCCCCTGCCTCAGCAGGCCAGGATCACAGCTGGCTCGGGCTCAGGGGCCCCTGGGACTGCTCTCAGCCTGTGTGGCCTCCAGCCTCCCGTGGTGGGGCTGACTCTGTGGCTGGGCCTTGGCTGACATATTTTAGAGGAGCTTCAGACTCACACTGCAGTCGTGTGACTGTGACCGTGTAGACCTTTCTGGGGACCGCTGCCCTCACGCCCAGACTCCTCCCCTGTCCAGAGTGGGCACTCACTGCAGCTGGCAACCGCACCGACTGCCGCGTAGCCCGAAGCGTACCCACTCCTCTGGGTGCACCTTTGCGGTCGGCTATGGGTTTGAGCCGGTGTCCGGCACACAGAGCCACAGCTGCAATGGCGTGCGGGCGTCCCCATTGCTCAGAAAGTCCTCGAGCCCCACCTCAAATCACACCCGCCTGGGATGAGGAGGGACAGGCCACTCGCCCCTCGAGCACCCTTGTCCTGTGAGCTGCCATCTCTGTGCCGATGGGAGTGCGCTCAGGACAGGGCAGGTGGGGACGGGCCTGCTCCCTAGGAGCCAACCACTGCCACAGCCACATCTGTGGAATGCCCGGGACTTCCCGAGGACTTGGATTTCCCAGTGTGGTTGGACACAGCAGAACCGGATCTGGAGCAGACGTACCACGGCCACTCTATATCCACAACCACAGCCACTCTACATCCACGGCCACGGCCACTCTACATCCACGGCCACGGCCACTCTAAGTCCCCAGCCACTACCAC